TCACTGGTGTGAGATTTCTCCATCTTCTTTATGTGGGCATTTAGTGCTATGAATTTCCCTCTTAGCACTGTTTCATAGTGTCCAATAAGTTTGTGTATGTTGTACTTTCATTTTCATTGAATTTTAGGAAATCTTTAATTTCTTTCTTTATTTCTTCCTTGACCCATTGGTGTTCCAGGTGGGCATTATTCAGTTTCCATGAGATTGTAGGCTTTCTATAATTTTTGTTGTTGCTGAGATCTAACTTTAAGCCATGGTAGTCCAATAAAATACAGGAGGTTATTCTAATTTTTTTGTATCTGTTGAGATTTGCTTTGTGACCAAGCATGTGGTCAATTTTAGAGAAGGTTCCATGGGGTGCTGAGAAGAAAGTATATTCTTTTGTGTTAGGGTGGAATGTTCTGTAGATATCTATTAAGTCCATTTGAGTCATAACTTCTGTTAGGTCCCTTATTTCTCTGTTAAGTTTCAGTGTGGCAGATCTATCCAGTGGTAAAAGTGGGGTGTTGAAATCTCTCACTTTTAGTGTGTGGGGTTTGATGTGCAATTTAAGCTTTAGTAATGTTTCTTTTATAAATGTGGGTACCCTTGTATTTGGGGAATAGATGTTCAGAATCAAGACTTCATCTTGGTGGATTTTCCCTGTGATAAGTATGTAATGTCCTTCCCAATCTCTTTTGATTGATTTTAGTTTGACGTCTATTTTATTAGATACTAGGATAGCTATACCAGCTTGCTTCTTAAGTCCATTTGATTGGAAAGTCTTTTCCCAGTCTTTTACTCTGAGGTAGTGTCTGTCTTTGAAGTTGAGGTGTGTTTCTTGTATGCAGCAGCAGGATGGATCCTGGTTTTTTTTTTTTTTGTCCATTCTGTTAGCCTGTGTCTTTTTATAGGTGAATTGAGTCCATTGATATTAAAGGATATTAATGACCAGTGAGTGTTAATTCCTGTTATTTTTTGGTGGTAGTGTTGTGTGTTTCCCTTCTTTGGTATTTGTTGGTGTGGGATTATCTATTGCCTGTGTTTTCATGGCTGTATCTAACTTCCTTAGGTTGGATTTTTCCTTCTAGTGCTTTCTGTAGGGCTGGGTTTGTGAGCAGGTATTGTTTAAATCTGGTTTTAGCATGGAATATTTTGTTTACTCTGTCTATGGCAATTGAGAGTTTTGCTAGATATAATAGTCTGGGTTTGGCATCCATGGTCTCTTAGTGTCTGCATAACATCTGTCCAAGACCTTCTGGCTTTCAGAGTCTCCATTGAGAAGTCGGGTGTTATTCTGATGGGTCTGCCTTTATATGTTACTTGGCCTTTTTCCTTTGCAGCTCTTTTTTCTTTATTCTGTATGTTTAGTGGTTTGATTATTATGTGGTGAGGGAACTTTTTTTGGGATCCAGACTATTTGGTGTTCTGTAAACTTCTTGGATCTTCATAGGCATTTCCTTCTTTAGGTTGGGAAAGTTTTATTCTATGATTTTGTTTAATATATTTTCTGTGCCTTTAAGTTGGTCTTCTTCTTCTTCTATCCCTATTATTCTTAGATTTGGTCTTTTCATGGTTTCCCAAATTTCCTGGACATTATGTTACAACTTTTTTTGGCTTTAGTGTTTTCTTTGACTGATGAATCTATTTCCTCTATTGTATCTTCAATGCTAGAGATTCTCTCTTCCATGTCTTGCATTCTGTTGGTTATGCTTGCATCAGTAGTTCCTGTTCATTTACTCAGATTTTCCATTTTCAGCATTCCCTCAGTTTGTGTCTTCTTTATTGTCTCTATTTCAGTCAAATCTTGGACTGTTTCCTTCACCTGTTTAATTGCTTTTTCTTGGTCTTCTTTAAGGGATTTATTGATTTTTTTCCAATTATTTGTTTGTCTTTTCCTCAATTTTCTTTATTGATTTCTTCCACTTTTTTTTTTTTTTTTTGATTTTTCGAGACAGGGTTTCTCTGTGTAGCTTTGCGCCTTTCCTGGAACTCACTTGGTAGTCCAGGCTGGCCTCGAACTCACAGAGATCCGCCTGGCTCTGCCTCCCGAGTGCTGGGATTAAAGGCGTGCGCCACCACCGCCCGGCGATTTCTTCCACTTTTATGATTGTCTTTTCTTCAATTTCTTTAAGGGAATTTTTCACTTCCTCTTTAAAGGCCTCCATCATCTTCTTAAAGTCATTTTTAAGGTCAATTTCTTCTGCTGCTTCTGCGTTGGGATGTTCAGGTCTTGCTGATGTAGAACCACTAGGTTCTGATGGTGCCATATTGGTCTTTATGTTGTTGACTGTATTTTTGCACTGATGTCTACCCATCTATCTCTTCTTCCACTCTGTGCAAGTGGTGTCAGTGTCTGAGGGAGCCTCTCTTGGTCCGATTGATACTCTTGGTCTAGTCTGGGCTCTTGGTCCAATTGGTGCTGATGGATTCTGTGTCTCAGGGAGCAGCTCTTAGTCCAATGGGCACTAGTGGGCTCTGTCTCAGGGAGCAGCTATTCCCTATCAGTGCAGGGTAGGCTTGTGACTCCAGTGGTCACTGGTGTTGCTAGTGGCTGTTTTCTTAGTGAGGGGGCAGAGAAAGAGGCAGTTGCCTAGTCCCTGGGGCTCCAATGGCTGGGCTTTTTTTTTTTTTTTTAAGAAGGATTGTCTTAATTAGATTAGTTGTTGTGGGAAGACCCAGTCAAATGTGCGTGGCACCATTCCCTTGGCAGAGGACTAGAAAATTTGAGCTGAGCACAGCCGGCAACCAGGTGAGCATGCATGTATTTACTTCTTTCTGCTTTTGACTATGGATGTGACCAGCTGCTTCAAACTCCTGCTACTGTTGAAATTACATAGTTTTAAAATGTCATGACAAACACTTCTCTAAGATAGAAAAAAAAGGCAATCTGAAGTGTATTTAAATGACCAAGATTTTTTACTGGATTCCTGATTGTCACTTTTGGCAACTTACCCCAGGCTTGTAGGCAGAGTTTTTCATTGGGACTCGGAAATAACCACACAGAGACTTAATATTAATTATAAATGCTCAGTCAATAGCTTAGGCTTGTTACTAACTAGCTCTTACAACTTAAATTAACCCATATTTCTTATCTAAGTTCTACCACGTGGCTCATGGCTTCTTACTTCCTTTTCTACACATCCTGCTTCCTCTGTGTCTGTCTTGAAACTCCTGACACTACACCCTTCTTCATCCCAGGTCCTCCTTCTCTGGCCCACATAATCTCTTCCTGCCTAGCTATAGGCCAGTTGGCTCTTTTTTTTTTTTTTTTTTTTTTTTTTTTTTTTTTTTTTTTTTTTTTTTTGGTTTTTCGAGACAGGGTTTCTCTGTGTAGCTTTGCGCCTTTCCTGGAACTTACTTGGTAGTCCAGACTGGCCTCGAACTCACAGAGATCCGCCTGGCTCTGCCTCCCGAGTGCTGGGATTAAAGGCGTGTGCCAACCACCGCCCGGCTGGTTGGCTCTTTATTAACCAATGAGAGTAATACATATTTATGCTGTACAAAGATTGTTCCACAGCACAGCCTGGTGGAAGGTGGTGTGCTATATGGTTGAAAGCCTGTGCTTTGTCTCACCAGAGCCTTGCTAACTGTAGTTATGCACTCTGGCTCAAAGTAAGGAAGTAGTGTTAGAAAGAGTGTTAGCCACATGCCTTCCCATAGCGGTTCGGGCCTTATGTTTAAATGTATTCCTTAAAGGCATTCTCACCCTGCATCAAAGATGTTTCTTACATTGGAAGGAGGGGAATAGATGACCACATACATCATATAGAAGCTCATCACAATAAAGGTTCCAAGTTCTACTTTGTATTTGGAACCTACCCATAGTAATGTTCAAACCATTTCATTCCACAAAGTTCTCCACACTACAGTAAGCAACTTTTTAAAAAAAAATCTACAGATGTTTTTGCCCTCTTCCTTTTCCTAAACATAAGAAAGGTGTGCTCCCTAAGAAGTAAATGAGTGACTGTTGGCTATTTAATGTCTGAGTGTGATGATGTCTCCCTCCTTGCTGTACCCCTTTTCATCAAGAATATTCAAAGCAGTTTCCTACATACTGCATTTGGAGGTACATGCCATGTTGGCTCCTTAAATTTTTCTTGTTTCAGTGAAAGAAAAATGTTGGTAACAAAATATATGTAAAATTAGACTTTTAGAAAGCTGCCTTTATTAATCAAAGTATTTGTTTGCAGTCATTTATTTGAAAATATCTTGAAGTTCTCACAACTTGGATTTTATTTTCATAAGGTTAACTTAAAAACTTGTTGCTGGGTTGCTGGGCGACTGCTGCGATCTCTTGCGTTCTTCCACCTCCACGAGAAGAGCCTGTGTTTCGGGCTCTTACATCTTAACAGTCTGCCCCAGTCCTTTCATGAGGAGCAACTCTGGTCCTTCCTGGTGTCCAGCTCAGCCAGCAGCAGAGCTCCCACTTTAGAAGGTGTTTGTATTTCCCAGGGGCTCAGGCAGAAGCCTGAGGCCAGTCAAGAATTTCTGCAGTGTGGTAAGGCTTTGCAGGGACTAGAAGGGACTGAATCTTTCAGTTTGCTGTGCCTAGTATGTGATCAGAGGAAGCTGATCATACTGAGGTGCGCTGGAAAAATTGGGGTGCCTGACTGAGTTCTTTTATTTGTGTGATCTACATAATAGGCTTCAAATTCTGATGACTCCACTCACTCCCACCCAGCAGGAAGTCCTCCTCATTCGAGAGGATGGCCGCCACAAGTTGTGTTTGTGTTACGATCTATGTACTAGTTTCTCCCTCTTCCAGTGTGCGGTCTCTAATTTCATGATGCTTTCTGATTATCACCTCTGTGTTCTTCAGATCATCACTTCATGTTATTTATCATGCAGTGTAATGACCCTGAAGATAGTATTCCAGTCAACAAAGAAAGTGAGAGTAAACACTAGCAAGGGCTTCTAAATCATTGATCACGGCACCATTCAAGAACTGGAGCTATTTGTTGTCTTGCAGACCTGATTCAGCACTCTGACGTCATTTGTCTATTACTTCACATTTACAGGACACTGTATGAACAAACCTGAGTTGATCTTCAAGTTGGAGCAAGGACTTGAGCCATGGAATGTGGCAGAAGCCTCAGACAGGAACCTCCCAGGTCAGTGAAGGCGCATTGAGTAAGGAAGGTCAGCAAGAAGAAAGCTCATCAGTTATTGGCTACATTGAGCTTTTTCCACCAGTTTTTGATCTAAATTCTCTCCTGATGAAGAAAGTGTTCAATATTAACTTGGTAAACCAGAATGCCTCTAAGATGAAGGGAGACATTCAGACCATTCTTCAATAGCACCCCTTAATGTAAGTCACCTCAACTTTCCAATCAAGGCTTACAAAAGCAAACTAAATCCTTAGAAACACCTGCATTTATTTGCTTTTAGAAGAAACCTCGCTAATGAAAACACAGACTTTACAGATAGACAATGATATCTGAAGCAAACTAATTGTGAAAGAAATCAAAACTGGGTTTTCTTATGATAGTTGAAGCATATGAGAAGCCTAAGGAAGTCTGTTTATTATGAAACTTTACGGATTATTTCATTATGAAGAGATGTCAAATATAAATACATATGCCCTGAGCCAATGTTTTTATAAATGACATGCCTCAAAATGTCAGGTTGTGTTAGTTAGTGTCAGTACCCCATTCATGAAGGGACAGACAACCAAAAATAACATGGGTGAAACTCTCTGTTCATGCGCAAAGCAAAGCATTTCCTTTAGTATAAACAACGACACAGGATGTTCATTCTTTTTCTTCCTTCTGGTTAGAATAAAGTTTAAACTGAGTGGGCTAGCACACAACTTCCATCTCAGCACTCTGAGCTTGAGGCTAGCCTCCTCTAGCAAGTTTCAGGCCAACCAGAGCTACATAGTGAGACCCCGTCTAAAACCTATGACAGAATTTCCTAGAAGCTCATGGGCTAGCTAGCCTGGGGTACACAGTACAGAGGAAATAAGGAGAACCTGACTCAGTGGGGTAGAAAAAAAGAACTAACTGGAAATTTGTCCTCTGCCTTCCAATCACACACATATATTATATTCATGCCTATATTCACCCCACCCCAAATAATAATAATAATTTTAAAAGTTAAAGGCTTACATACAACATACAATTTTCGATAATGTACGTTCAGGAACTTTTTTTTTTTTTTTGGTTTTTTGAGACAGGGTTTCTCTGTGTAACAGTCTTGGCTGTCCTGGAACTCACTCTGTAGACCAGGCTGGCCTCAAATTCACAGAGACCAACCTGCCTCTGCCTCCCAAGTGCTGGGATTAAAGGCATGCACCGATACCACTTGGCTCATTCAGGAACTTTTTTATTTGGAAATGAAATATAGAATTACTGTATGTGGCAGGTGTCCCTTGCCTGTCTATATGCATGGTGTAATTACTGTAAGGACAGAGTACATAAACCTGTAGGCCCATGTTTACTGAGAAATTACTCACAATAACCACGCTATGGTATCACCCCATGTGCTCATCATTAGACTCAGGGAGGGTTGTATATAAAAAGTGTGTTACTCATCCATCAATAGCAGTCAGGCCATGGTCTTGGAGAAACAGGGATAGAAGTGTACCTTATCATGTTAAGTGAAATGAGTTAGAGTTGAAATAGAAAATATATATTTGGTAACATGCACTGAATATAGTTCAAGAAAGTAAAACTGGGTGGACTGAATAGAGTAATGAACTAGCTGACGAGGAAGAATGAGAGAGTGTCTTGTACAATTAATATGTGGTAAGTAAATTTTTAAAAGTTTGCATTTGAGGGTGTGGTGGTATATGCTTTTAATCTCAGCACTTGGGAGGCAGAAGCAAGTGACCAATCTGGTCTATATAGCAAGTTCTAGGCCAGCTAGAGCTACCAAGGAAGACCCTGTCTCCGGTAGGTACAGATTTTTCATTCGAAATTGTCAGCTATGCACAGAAAAATGCACTGGTGTGAGAAAACTTCTGGTAGCTATTTAATTTTTATGAAGGTGTTCATTGTTATTTTAGAAGGTGAAGAAGATGTGTAGAACATGCATTAAGGAGAGAATTTGGGAGAAGGTGTCTTCTACTTTTGGAGGAAGATGCTTTACCTCATAAACCCCATGGGATATTCTATTGCTTTTATCCACTGTGAAGTAAACCTGCTAAACACATATATGTAGGAGGCTTTTCCCTAACATATATTTCTACTTAGGAGTGAGAACATTTGGCTATGCCCACATCCTATATATAACTACTTAAAAAGAAGCCTACTTCACATGTGAAAGCGGTGTGCTGCAGATGATATTGTATGTATAGTTAATATCATAGAGAAGTGGGGCAACCAGGACACAGCAGGTAAAAGTGACTGTCAAACCTACAGCAGACAAAGAGGAGACTAGCTTGCGGCAGTAAGAGACGTGACCTAGCCTATAGTGTGTGCTAATCCCATTTGTTGTACAACCCATGGAGTACTAAAATGTTTACACTCGTTACTAGTCAATATCAGCTTACAACTTCTGTGAGGAAAAAAAGCCCACTTTATTTTAGAATTGCATAAAAAGACTATAATGTGATTCATGGATAGGGACATTTTTAATCTAATTTCAGATCTTCCTATATGGACTGTCCCAACTGTAACCAGCCAGGAAAACCAGAATGTGCATTTGTGGCAAGTTGGAACTATCCAAACCAAGACATCAAGTGAAAAGATTGTAAGTAAAACATTAAATTTGGGCACTTAACAATGTCAGTCTGACCCTAAAGAGGGGAACCTATCATCCATAAGAATTTGATGTGGGGCTGGGAAAATGGCTCAGTTGGTGTAGTGCTGCCTTGGAAGCATGAGGACCTAAGTCCGTCTCCAGCACTCTTGTAAAAAGCTGAGAGTGGAAATGGGCAGCTGTTATCCCAGGGTTCAGGAGATTGAGAAAGAAGGGTACCTAGGACCTGTTGGACATCCTAACTCTTCAAGTCAGCAAGCTCCACCTTTAATGAGAGGCCCTTTCTCAAAATTAAGGTGGGCAGTAATTGGGAAAGGCATCTGATATCAACCTCTGGTCACCACCTGCAAACACTCACATGTGTATGTACACTTGCACATAGGCAGACACACATGCATAAACATATATGTACCCCTGTCTTCCTCACACTCACAGACACTTGACTCAGGCAAGAATGTACTGTTTCTCAATATTTAGTTTCTCAAATTGCAGGGTGAGTGCAATAACTCAAAATTTTTCATGCAGTTGGCAAACCTCTCTTGCATCCTGCGCATCTTCTCCAATACACAATGATCTTTAGGATATTTGACCAGGAATATCATTCCAAGCTAACTCAATGTGTTTGATAGTAAATTCAGTAAACATTGGAAATTCATTTAAGTGACACTTGTATATGTAGCCCAAGACATGAAGTTATCTAACCACTATTAATATATTTGGGATTCTGTGCTGTAAAAGTAAACTCAATAAATGACAAATGCATAAGTATGAGAAATGTAAATGTGACCATGGGAAATCATACCTCACGGAGCCTCAAGAGCATCAGCCAGGAAAAAGGCCTCTCTGTAGGTATAAGAAATATAACAAATGCTTTTATTTCAAGGCCGAGCTACAGGAGCAACAGAAGACCCATCAAGGGTCAAAATCCCGTGAAGCAGAAGCATGTAAGAAGAGAGTGTGCCAGAAATCACAGTGTACTGGGGATCCAGTATCTCATATGTGTAAGAAAGCTCTCCATTGGAAGTCAACTCTTGCTGAACGTCAGAGGCTTCAGAAAGGGGAGATAAGCTATGAGTGTGAGGAGTGCAGAAAAATTTTCTTCCAGAACTCACATGTTACAGTTTGTCAGAAAGTGCCTACACATAGGAAGCTTTGTGAATGTACAGAATGCAGAAAGGCTTTCTTTTGCAACTCAGAACTCACCAGTCATCAGAGAATGCGTACAAGTGAGAAGGCCAATGAATGTGCAGACTGTGGGAAGGCTTTCTCCCACAAGTCGTATCTCACTCAACATCAGAAAATTCACACAGGTAAGAAGCCTTTTGAGTGTTCAGAATGTGGGAAAGCCTTCTATACTAAGGGAAAACTTACTCTACATCAGATCATTCATACAGGTGAGAAGCCCTATGAGTGTACAAGATGTGGGAAAGCCTTCTCCCTCAAGTCATACCTCAATCAACATCAGAAAATTCACATAGGCAAGAAGCCTTATGAATGTGCCGAATGTGGGAAAGCCTTCTACCGGTTAACACACCTTACTGTGCATCAGAGAACTCATACAAATGAGAAGCCCTATGAGTGTACAAAATGCCAGAAATCTTTCTACTACCGGACACAGCTTACTCTACATCAGCGAATTCATACAGGTGAGAAGCTTTTTAAGTGCATGGAATGTGGAAAATCTTTCTACTGTAAGTCACATCTAACTCGACATCGGAGAATTCACACTGATGAGAAGAAGCCCTTTGAATGTATAGAATGCGAGAAATCCTTCTACTCCAAGTCACACCTCACTGAGCATCAAAGGTCTCACCCAGGTGAGAAGCTCTATGAATGTATGGAGTGTGGGAAATCATTCTATCAGAAGGCAACACTCTTTCTACATCAGAGGAATCATATCGGCGAGAAGACGTATGAGTGTGCAGACTGTGGGAAAGTTTTCTATTGCAAGTCACACCTCACTCTACATCAGGTAATACATACAGATACATGCCCATATGTGTGTACAGAATGTGGAAAGTATTTCTACTATAAGTCACAACTCATTGTGCATGGACGAACTCACACAGGTGATAAGCCCTATAAATGTGGAGAATGTGGGAAAGCCTTCTCCCGTAAGCCATACCTCACTCGACATCAACGTACTCACACAGGTAGGAGCAATCTGAATGTAAAAAATGTGGAAAAGCTTTCTACTGAAAGTCAAAGCTCAGTTAACACCAGGGAACACGAGCATGTGGCAGGTATTTTGAAGGAAAAGAATGCAGGATTCCTACTTCAAGTCACAAGTAGCAACAGTGGACACCTCCAATGCGGAGCCCTGAGCATGGAATGAACGAGAGAACTTTATACGGAAAGTCACGGTACAGAATGAATTTGAATAAGAATCCTGTGACTGCAAAGTGCAAAGTATTTCATGCAAGTCACAGTTCTGTGGCATCAGAGAATGCAAACAGCCCAGAAGCCCTATGAATGTATGGACTGAAGTTAAGTTTCCTCTAAGTCCCCACTCAGGGCACATTAGTGCTCACATACAGACAAGAAGCCTTACAAACGTACAGTGAGGAAATTCATTCTCAAGTCACACGAGAGGCCACATGGATGAGAATGTAAGGAGTATTGGGATTTTTTTATTGTTTATTGAAATCTAAAACTCAGGGATAAATATTAAAGAATAAATCTGAGAAATGCACAGAGTGGCTGAGAAATGATCCTCCCTTTCTACTTCCTCAGTCTAAGCGCATGCCACCCCTCGGCCCCACCCCTTCCTTCCCTGTCTGCTGCTTTCTCCTTTTAGTCCACCAGAGAGCTTGACAGCCCATTCTCAGCTGAATGTGGACTTCCCTCGAAACTGAAGTTGGCTCCGTTGGTGGTGGTCTTAGAGCAATCAACACAGGCAAATCTCCCGCAGCAAAGGAGCCCAGAAAAACTTAGTACAACTTAGTCCTCACCTGACAACAGAGAATGCAGGCAAGTCAGAGGACTGAGAGATAAAAGAATGTATGAGACTTAGAGTAAATCAGTCCTTACTAAGCATCAGTGGACACCTACAGGATCGGGACATCTGCCTGTGAGGAATTCTGTATGTGAGAAAAGCCATACATGTGAAAGCCTAGGAATTTAAGGAATGTAAGAGAAAATTTTATGAGATAATAGGAGCCAAGGTGTTCATGACTCCTGCAGTGGGCAGGCAAGTCTCTCCAGAACCTCCCTTCCCCCACACCAGATGGCAGCTGACAACCCACAGATGAGAGACACTTTGACCCAGTCAGTGGCCCCTCCCACCCTCCGCAACACTCCTGCAGCCACCATGGAGGAGCTGCTGCCACCACCACCACTGCCAAAACCTGAGCCCAAGTCTAGCCGTGCCCTACAGTAAGAACCTTAGAGAAGAGCCTCAGAGAGAATGGCCGTATCTTCAGTAAATGTGTCCTGGCGCATCTGTAATTTCTTATCAGAATCTTTTAAAAAATATTTGAAGATTGATTCAAGATGTGGTGGCCACTGACGCTGGTGGGACCACAGAGCAGTTTGTCGGTGGACCCTTGATTCCTCTCTTGGGACCTGACCCACAGCATGGAGCTGCCATTGCTCCTGAGCTGCCCAAGGTCAGAGAGATGTGCGGTGACTTGGAACACTATCGGATCCTGCCCCTGGACACCCTGCCCAGCTGAAAGATCACTCTGACTGGGAAACAGCAGGCTATCTGAGATGAGTCTCAATGATAGTCCAGTATTTATGGTGCTTCAGAAACCAGAGATCTTGAACCAGACCAATGACTCATTGCAATAAGTGTTTGCATGTAAAGCTGTTTGGACAGCAGTTTGCAATGCCATTTGATGACTAAAGGTTCGGTGGGGAGGCAGGAAGGATGATGGAGTGGAGCGGCATGTGAAGAGAGACAGAAGTAGAGACATCGGGCACAGATGTGGGCATGCAACTGCATAGGACAGGGGAGCATGTCATTGTCAAGTAGGGCCAGCAGGGTGGTGAGCAGCAGCCTGGAGTTCATGCAGGCTCCACCCCTGAACATGCTGCCCAGCCCCAGGATCACCCTGGCTCTGAGCAATGTCAGGATGTGCATGGAGATTGGTTCACTTTCTGGATTGGACCTTCTCAAAAATCCTCCATGGTCCATGCTGCCACCAGAGGCCATAATGTTGCACGAAGTCTATGTACTATAGCTGTGACCATGCTGGGGTCTGTGGTCTAGGCTGCTGCCATAGGCTGTTAATGCCTTAAACTGTGTTGCTACCAGAGACCATATGGATATCTGTGGTCCATACTTCCACTGTGCAGGGCCATGTTGATGTTAGTGGTCTGTGTTCCTGCCAGAGTCCATGTTGATGTCTATGGTTCATGCTACCATCAGAGGTTGTGTTGGCATCCATGGTCCGTGCTGCCTCTTGAGACCATGCTGATTTTCTTGGTCTGTACTACTGCTAGAGGACAAGTAGATGTCTGGAATGGGCTGCTGCCTGAGGCCATGTTGATGTTTGTGGTTGATGTTACACCAGATGTCAATGGTCTGAGCTCTTGGTGGAGGTCATGTTGATGTCCATGGTCTGCCCCACCACAGGGGACCATGTTGCCACCAGAGACCATGTTGATGTTTAGTCCATGTTGCTGCTGAGGGCCATGTTGATATTTGTGATCAGGGTTGCCACAGGAGACCTTGGTGATACCTGTGATTTCTGATGCCGTTGGAGGCCATGCTGATGTCTGTGGTCTGTACTATGGCCTGGGGGGCTGTGTTGATGTATGTGGTCTGTGCTGCCTCCAGGGACCACATTGAGGCCCATCTTCCATTGTGCAGCCAGGGGCCATATGGATGTACATGGTCAGTGCCCATGGAAACCATGTTGATGTCCATGATCTATGCTGGGACCTAGTTGATGTTTGTGGTCTACTGCCATGGGAGGACATAATGAGGTCCATGGTCTGTGATGCTGCTGGAGATAATGTGGATGTCTGTGGTCTGTACAGCCTTGGGAAACCATGTAGAAGTCCATGGTCTGGACTGCTGCTGGCTGTTGTGGGCAAGGAAGCATCTGTTGGAGTGGTATCAATGACTCCAGACTCATAATTGAGAACAAGAGACGATGAAGGTTTCTGCAACAGCCTTTACACACATACACACACACACACAGAGAGAGAGAGAGAGAGAGAGAGAGAGAGAGAGAGAGAGAGAGAGAAGAAAGTCTAGACAGGAAGCTGTTGAGGAGAGTCCTGAAAAGTTGTGATGAAGATGCTAAAGTGTAGCTCTTCACAGTTGTTGACTTCTGCTGGGGTGATGGGGAAGGACTCAGGCATCTTTAAGGGGCTGACCCCTGGGAGTTTCACCATGCTCTAATGAGTATGGGCAGCACAAATTGTACTTGGTGTATTTGGGGGGTAGGGCATAAGGTGGGAGGTTGGACCTAGGAGGAATGGGAAATGAGTGTGATCAGGATGCATTGTATGAAATTCCCAAATAATCAGTAAACATATTATGTTGGAAAAAAACCCTATTATAAAAAACAGAAAAGAATTTTATGAAATCTTAATTAATGTCTGTATATATATGTCAATGAGCAAGTCTGTAAATGTGAAAAATATAGAAAAGTTTTCCAATGTAATTTTGTGTCACTTTGCATTTGAAATCTTATTCATTTGAAGGACCACATGAAAGTAATGAACATAAGAAAACTGAGAGAGTTGACAGGCCATCCTTTACACTAGAAACCTCTTGCAAGTGAGAAACTGCAAGGAAATAATTAGCCACGTCGTGACATGTGCTTTCAATTGTTAATCAATTTATGTCCTGGTGCTACAGCTTTATTGAGATACAAGTGTTGAAGGCTGGTCTCAGCAAGACAGCAAATTCCATATCAATGAAACATTGAGTCTGGGTGTAGTAGCACATGCCTTAAATCCAGCAGAGATGGGCAATTGTGAGTTTGAGGCCTCCATAGTCTACACCATGAGTTCCAGGCTGGCCAGGACTAGGTGGTGAGACTCTGCCTATAAAAAGACTGATCAGCCAAACATTCATGCCTGTGCATCCCCTTGTCACATTTTAAGCCATACAAGCTGGGGAAATGAGAACGTGAAGAGTGCCAAAGTTGTCTTCATTGAACTTGGAAGATCCTACTGGCACCAGAAATTTGACAAAGGTGAGAAAAGCAATGAAGGAAAATACAAATCCAGAGTTCACCTGGCTTTATTATCAAACGTTTATCATGAAATCTACAAATGTAAGGATTATGTTATTAGAAAAAGATTTTAGCTTCACTCACATCATTGGACATCAAATTGCTTACAAAAATTCGGGCTGTTGGTTAATCTCAGTTGTCAACTTGATCAGCTCTAGAATAACCTATATGATGATCTTCCAGGCAAACCTGTGGGGGAATATTTTTGTTATATTAATTATGGTGGGAATGCATACCCAGCATAGATGGTGCCTTGCCCTGGGCTAGAATTCAGGGATGCATACAGAGAAGAAAACTGATCAAGGCAATCGTTGTTCTTTGCTTCTGACTCTGGATACAGTGTTACAAGCTGCTTCAAGCTCTCATTGTCTTGACTTCCTCTTGTGGTTTGAATCAGGAGTTTCCCCCATGGGATAATGTATTTGAACACTTAGATGGTGGTGCTGTTTCATGTTACAGAGTCTGTTGGAGGATGTATGTCACTGGTGGTGGGCCACGAGAGTTTATGGTCTCACCCCACCTTCAGTTCTCACTCTGCCTTGTGTATGCAGTTGAGATGTGATCTTCAGATTCCTGCTTTTGGTGCTATGCCTTTCCACCAGTATGAAAATCTGTCCTCTAGAATTATAAGCCAAAATAAACTCTTCCTTAAGTTTCCTTTGGTCATGGTATTTTATCACTGTAACTGAAAAGTAACTAATATAGAAGTTGGAGCCAAGAAGTGAGATTGTTGCTGCAAAGAACCTGAAAATGTTGTTTATTTGGAGGAATGTGGAAGACTCTAAGATGGAGCTAGGGAAGCATGTGCCTATTGTAAGCAGACATTAACAGACTGTTCTAGTAGGAGTCAGGAAGAAAAGAGTGCTGAGAGTAGAGGCCTGCCCGGATCGTGAGGTTTCAGAGGGAAATTAGACTGTTAGCACTGGACTAGAGTCCATTTATGTCCTGCTTTGGCACAGAATCTGCTGCCTTCCGCCTGCGCCCTGAGAAGTTGCCTGCAGCGAAATTAAACAAGTAACAGATTCATTTCTTTGCTGTAGGAAATTTCAAGACTACATACCATTGAATCTGTAGTATGGTTACTACTGATAATTCTTATGTAGGTCTTCATCATAAAAGAAACAAAAATTAGTTTGGAGAGCAGAGGAGCACTAAGAAGCTCAATGTTACAGCCAGGGCACGTGGTGAAAGAAAGGCTGTAATTGTTAGGAATATTAGTGCTGTTATTGGGGAGAGCTCTTGTGCTCTGCACTAGAACAACTGGATGAGTACCATCCGGACAAGACACTACCCAGCTAAGCTTTGAACGTGTGGGAAAAGTAGAGCTGGGAAGTGTCCTGCTGCTAGAAAACAACAGCACACCAATGCTAATGCTAACTGTGTTCTAAGGGAGCAAGTGCTGGTCCCAAGTGGCACTGTTATCCTCACAGTTCTGGCCTTAGAAGAATGAAAGATTGCCGGGAGGCAGAGCCAGGCGGATCTCTGTGAGTTCGAGGCCAGTCTGGGCTACCGAGTGAGTTCCAGGAGAGGCGCAAAGCTACACAGAGAAACCCTGTCTCGAAAAACCAAAAAAAAAAAAAAAAAAAAAAAGAAGAAGAATGAAAGATGTAAGAGGGAGAGGATCATGGATCATCTTCTGTGGTTTCTGATAGCCACTGAGGCCAAGTAATGTGTGGGAGGGCTGGTATCCTTGACTCTTGCATGAAGCCACGAAAGTGAAGTCCAAGTTTCAGTGAAGACCCCAAGCTGTTGGAGATGGATCCAGAGCCACAGATGTCTGCAAAGACCTGCATACAGGGAGCAGAACCAGCTTAAGAGAGAAATGTGTTACTGTAATGCGTCTTTCTCTGTCCTGCCAGCCAGCTCCCAGACAATGACATGGAGACTTACTAATTTTGAAAGCTTGGCCTTTAGCTTAGGCTTGTTTTTAACTAGTTTTTACAACTTAAATTAACCCATATTTTTGTTAATGTGTGTTCTACCATGTGGCTTTACCTCTGACCCATTCTGTACTTCTGACTCGTTCCATGTCTGGCTGGCATCTGTCCACCTTGATTCTTCCTCTTGCTTTCAATCCTCAAAATCCCATCTACACCTCCTGCCTAGCTATTGGCTGTTCAGCTTTTTATTACACCAATCAGAGCAATACACCTTCACACAGTGTACAAATACTCCACATTTCCCCCTTTTTGTCTAAATAAAAAGGAAAGGTTTTAACTTTAACATAGTAAAACTATATACAATAAGAAAAGTTATCAGGTAAGAATTACATTTCCAATGTCCAGTCCATTTGTATTTGGCATGTATGGAGAAAATACTCTATTATCCCTCCTATCTTAGTGAGTCCAAAGTTTAGTATCTGGTTTATTTTTTTTTACTAAAACTGAAGAAAACTATAACTACAACTATCTAATCTTCAACCCCATCAGAGACTCAAGAAGGATATATGACCTGATTAAACAGGAAGTGCAGAGCAAGCAACTTCAAAACTAAGAAATGACAGAAACATCTGGCTGCCTGGACAGTCACCCCAAGGTGACTGTAACATCTGTTCCTCTGTAACATCAGGGCATCCATCTTTGGCCAACATGCCTAGAATATCTGACAGACTTTTCTGTGAGGATTTTAAAGGACGGTCCTACCTTGTCTTGACAAAGTTTGGCAGTCACCTTCTTTCATGTCCCGTTCATCCAATTTGGACAGCACGCTGTCAGCAGTGGAGGCAAAGGCAGTTTCTTGCTTAGATGGCTAGCTTTGCCACACTGAATGCAAACTCCATATGGAGGTTTTCTGATGCCCATCATCCTTTTTTAAAGTAAATTGGTGCTGTCAGGAACAGATGTGTCTCGCTGTCATGAAAAGCCTTATGTTATTAAAACATTTTAGATGCCATATTCTGTAGTTCTTTTATGTCCATCTATTTAAAATATGTCTCTGATCTTGAAAACATGCCTAACATGACTATAAATTTGATTGTTACAGATGACTATCTAACCTGTCTTTATTATCCTAAATAGCTTTCAAGTACTAGAACTTTACATTCTTAAATGAGCTGCATAGATGCAATACTTTAAACAAATAGAAACATATAATACAATATAACAAAAATAATATTAAATTTATATATACAATATACAAAACTCCATACCAATGTAAAATAGTTGAGATTGGGTAATTGCTTCTTTAGTTTGAAAGTAGATGCAATAATCTACCCTTTTATCCTATCATTTTTATATCCCCCTTTCTTTTCAGAATAAGATCCCTGGATCCGATTTCCTTTGCTTAGTTTCTTCCCTGACCATGACCATTAACAGCTTGTAATCAACCCCACTAAACAATGATAAACATCCATAATTCACCAAATGACCAAAAACCATTCACCCCAACTCTTGGGAATGTGGGCATCCTGTTTTCTAGGTTACTTCCTGCTGTCTGAGGGTGATGGCAACTTTAGGGTACCTTGAGAAAGTTGGGATAATGGTCAAGTCCTGAAAGAGCTGGCTGTGTTATTTTTTGTTTAGTCTCTGTGTGGTGGGAAAGTATAGAGCTTATCTGAAGTCTTAGCTGGATATCTATGATGCTGGACCATCTCAGCTAGGAGCTTTGAAGTTGTTCTGGATGCAGAATTTGAGGAAACTGTAACAGAGACATTCTGAGAGGTAGAATCACCTGGGCTACTTTTCTTTATTGGTGTCTGGTCCTCTTTTTTTCTGAAAACACACTAACTTTTAAAGGTAACATATATATTGGTGTTAACACAAAAATGGGATATGCAGTGTGCACAAGTCAGTTAAAGATGGTTTCTTTTTTGTTTTATGTTTAAGCAGATAAAAAGCATCTGCCAACTACCACAAGCTTGTTTGGACTGTATAACCAAACCTCTATCCATGTCATATGGAAAGATGGCATGTAAGAATAAGTCATGAGGACTCTGTAGCCAAAAAGATTTATCATGTCTTATCCAGTCTCAGAGCTGTTCCTACAGTAGAGGGATCAGCATATCTGCCACCTGTCCTGTAGTCTTTCTAAGCTTCTTTCTTCATGTCTGTAGCCAAGATTTTCAGGAAGACTCACCCAGTTAAATGTAATCTTCATTAATTTTGAAGAGAACCATAAGTTTTATTTCCTGTGGGAAAAAAGGCATAACCTTTCCTCCAACACATTTCCTGACTTTCATTCTGGAGTCTCTTAGCATACAACATAGCTGGTTTAATTCAGCCATGCCTTCCGTAGTCCAGTGTCTATCCACAGCTGCCATTTACTCAGCATTCAAAAAATTCAAAGTCAGCAAAGCACCATGCAAGATCCAAATTCCTTGTGCATTCACTAGCTTTACATGGCTTTTTCTTTTATATTACTTATTCTCTCTTTAAAGACTTTATTGTTTTTAAACTGTTTTTTTTTTCTATAATTGTCTGAAAAAAAACATTGTTTTTACTGTATCCATTTAAAGGTTTTCTTGGTCTGGACCGCTTTACTGCATGCTAGCAACCTTCTCTGACCACATGAGCCAAGTTTTAAACCCGCTGCACAGCTCTGCCCATGGTGCTGGCTGACTCAAACCTGCAGGAAGTGTCCAGGAGCCACGTCTCAATATGCCATAGCCCACCTGAGTGATTGCAGGACTAGGAAGCTGTGTTTGGCTCCATATTTGTGTGTTTGGAACTTTTTAAAAAGCTTTCTCAGGTCCTCTGTGGAAATACATGCTCCACATAAGATGCCATATATAACGAGTCTTTCTCTGTCCCACCATCCAGCTCCCAAATAATGACATGGAGACTTACTATTAATTGTGAAAGCTTGGCCTTTAGCTTAGGCTTCTTTTTACTGACTCTTCTAACTAAAATTTTTATTAATCTATGTTCTACCACATGGTTTTTTACCTCTACCCTATTCTGTGTGTCTGACTCATTCAGTGTCTGGGTGGCATCTTCTGTGACTTATTCCTCCTCCTCTTCCTTTCCACATCCAGAAATCCTGCCTATACTTCCTGCCTAGCTATTGGCCTTTCAGCTTTTTATTACACCAATAACTTTACTGGCTTTCAAATGTATTCTGACTTGTATACTTATATACTATGAGACAGCACAAAAGAAAAAAGGCTGTCTTCACTATGCGGCTGCATAATCTTCAACATAGTTCAATTAGCTTAAAGAAAAGGGGGAATGTAGGAATTTAGCAGAATCACTGCATCGGGGTAAATATTAGAATGAACAGTCATTTTTCAGAAGTACTTTGACCTTGAAGAATCCTTGTAGAAAACAGGAATTGTTTACCATGATCTGTAGAATTGTTTTGCTGAAGGGACTTTGTAGCCATCTCATGATTTTGGCCACAAGATGTCTCAGGCACACCTGAAACTCTTGTATTATTATGTATTGCAAACAATACATAATAAAGGACTAGAGTCATGGGGGCCTGAGATACTCTCCTTTAATAAGACATGTAAATTGATTATGGACCTTGGTATGAGGAAATAACTTTCAGTAAATATGCCTTTATATGGCTGTTCGGGGTTCAGTCCATCAGAAGAGGCTGGACCATCCTGCTGCCAGATAGGCCTTAAAATTTCATCTCGGAGTGCCTTCTTTCTTCTACTGACCTGTGCTACATGGTGCACCATGACACATTACCATGGAGATGAACAGGGTTCTTTTTAAGAAAGAAGTCATTCACTATAGCTTAAGAACATATCTTAGAATGGAATGAACCTGACCAAGGAAGTGAAAGACCTCTATAATAAATAATTTGAAACATTGAAGGAGGAAATTAAGTAAGGTAGTGGAAATTGGATGCTCCTGAGTCAGAATAGTTAGTATTTTGTAAATTACCATGCTACTAAAGTGATCTATATATCTAATACAATCCCAAACAAAATTGCAGGATTAGTATTAAAGCACAAATGACTGAGGCTATTCAAAGCTCTCATGAACACAAAGAATAATGCTGGCAGTAAGTATCACACACCTGATTTCAAATTATATTGTAGACGCATAGTAATAAAACGGCATATCACTGGCACAAAAACAGACATGCGGAGCAGTGGTGTATAAGACCCAATATGCACCGGGTGGTGGTGGTGTACACCTTTAATCCCAGCACTCGGGAGGCAGAGGCAGGCGGATCTCTGTGAGTTCGAGGCCAGACTGCTGGTCTACAGAGCGAGTTCCAGGACAGGCTCCAAAGCTACACAGAGAAACCCTGTCTCAAAAAAAGAAAAAAAAGACCCAATATGCATCCAAACATACACTGGAGAAAAGAGAGCTTTTTCCACAGATAGTCCTGGGAAACCTGGATTACAACATGCAGAAAAATAAGAAATTATGCCCTTATCTCTCACCCTCCACAAACTGCCACTCCAAATGGGTCAAGAACCTCAACACAAGAGCAGATGCTCTGAAACTGCTGGTGAAATATAGTGCGCTTCAGCACACAGGCGCAGGTCCTTATGCACTTCCTGTAGAGAACTCTGGTAGCACAGGAAAGAAAATCAAGTCAGCAAGTGGGACTTCTTGAACTTCCACAGCTTTTGTACAGCGAAGGGAATTGTCGGTTGAGAGAAGAGGCGCCCA